GCCCAAGTGTTAAAATCAAAATGCAGCAGCAGTCCCTGAGGCACTGCCATGGAAATGACCCAGAAAAATGGGAAGGTTTTCTGGGGGGGAAAAAGGAAATCAGGGATCTCAAGATGTTCCCAAACTTCCAGTGGAGCTCCAGCAGAAGGCAGGATAAAGAAATCACCTCAGGTTGGGCCAGGAGAGGTTTTGAATGGATATTAAGAAAAAATTCATCATAGAAAGGATGGTCAGGAATTGGCACAGGCTGCCCAGGGCAGTGGTAGAGTCAAATCCCTGGAAGTGCTCAAAAAATGTGTGGATTGGGCACTTTAGGATGTGGTTTAGCCGTGACCATGGTTGGACATGAGTATCTTAAAGGTTTTTTCCAAACTTAACAATGCCCTGAGTTAAATACTGGATTTTTCTTTATTTTTTGTAGCCCTGGACCAGAAATTTTTCTCCAAAGGGATCTGGAAGGTGCCTGAGTCCCAGAGATGAGGCAGAATAAAAAGGCTGGGAAGGGAGCAGCAGCCAAACCCTGAGTTGTTTGCTGTTGGTTTTTATTTCATTCTAAACAAACCCAGGAGTTGTAGTAAACACAGCTCTGCTGCCCTCCCACCTCCAGAAAGCTCCAAGGTTTTACAAAATGCTCTGTAATTTCTGCCTATTTCTGCCTTCCTTTGATGTTCCAGGTGAGTGTTCCAGGCTGGATTCCCAGCTCCACTTTTCACCCCGCAGAGAAATGATGACAAAAGCTCCAATTCTTCCCCATAATGTTTCTATTTGGGTTTGAGGGATGGAGGGACCCCTCCCAACCTCCTGCATCCTCATTTCCCACCCTGGAACATGGAATTACAGCAGTGAGGGCAGAGCAAAAGTCCAACAAACGACAGGAGGGAAAGGCTGGGGAGGCAGGAGTGGCTTTGAAAATAACCCCTGCACCCAGTCAGGATCAAAGGAATTTCTGTTTATCCTTCCAGCTGCAAAGAGCTGGCAAATATCCCTGGGGCTGCTGCTGGAAATAGCAAATGCTGTTTATGGCTGGGCCTTGTTTGTGTGTTTTATGGGTCACACTCATTTCACAGGGATCATTTTTGTTTGTTCCCCGTGCCCACACCTTCCCCTGGGACTGAGCTGCCTCCTGGGCACAGTTCCTGCCTCTCCTGCTGACCACCTGCAAGGCTCTGCTCCTCCATCCCTGCCTGGATTTCTCCACCTGTGCAAGTCCTCAGCTCTGGCCTGGCCCACGAGTCCCTGAGGTTGTTTCTGTACCAGAAATGGCTGGGATGGCTCGAGAGCTTTGTGCAGTTTGGAGTCTCACAATAAAAAAAAAGTCTAAAGGTGTTGGAGAGCAACCAAGAAGGGACATGGAGACGGGGAAGGGTCTGGAGGAGCAGCTGAGGGCACTTGGGGTGTCCAGATGGAGCAGAGGACACTGAGGGCAGAGCTCAGGGGTCTGCAGCTCCAATCTCTGCTCCCTGGGACAGGGACAGCACCAGGAGAGGAGGAAACAAATTGGGAAAAAAATGGAAGAAACAGGAAAAACCAAAACAACCCCAGGGAAATGTAGAGGAAGGTGTGACAGCCACATCAACAGATCTGCCATGGATTTGGAGGATCAGGCCCTTCCTGGGCATCCAAGGGCATCCAGCACAGGATGGAAAAGTGCCTGGAAGAGACCAGGATAACACAGGAAGGGCCCAGGCACTGCAGAGCTGGGGTTTGGTGCTTTTCTGCTGGGTTGGAGCTCTCTCACACACCGAGTTGTGTGCAGGGAGGGATTGCAGCCCGAGGAGTCGGGGACAAGGGGCTGTGGGACAGGCTGGAGTCACCTGCAGGACTCTGCATCCCTGCAGCTCCAATCTCTGCTCCCTGGGACAGGGACAGCAGCCAGGGAAGGGCTGGAGCTGGGCCAGGGCAGGCTCAGGCTGGAGATGAGGGAAAGGTTCTTCCCTCAGCCAGAGGGTGCTGGGCACTGCCCAGGCTCCCCAGGGAATGGGCACGGCCCCGAGGGATGGACAGGGGGGATTGATGGGGGGTCTGGGTTGGATCCATGATCCTGTGGATCCTTCCAGCTGAGGATACTCCACGACTTGATGGTTCTATGAAAGAACAGCAGGATAAGATTTACCAGCTGTAAATGTGGTCACTGTGAGGGCAGCTCCTTTTCTCAAGGTGAACGACCCAAAACACCTGATGGATCAAGGCAAGGCACACAAAAGCCCCAGGAATCAGAGAATCCCAGAATCCTGGGATAGTTTAGGCTGAAAAGGATCTTAAAACCCATCCAGTGCCACCTCCTGCCATGGGTGGGGTCATCTTCCACTACCCCAGGTTGCTCCAAGCCCATCCAAAATCACTGTAAAATACTTCCATTGGCAGGAATGTTCCACAAAATCCCCTTTTCCACTGGAGGTTTTGCTGTGTGGAAAATGCCACAGGCAGCCAGGGAATTTAATGATCATCCCTGGAGTCCAGGGACGTCTCAGACTCCAGGACATGGTGTTGGTGCAGTCAAGACCCTCTCATTTATCTGTGCTGCCAGTGCTGAGACCCTCAGCTGAATCCTCAGCTCAATCCTCAGCTCAATCTTCCCTCTCCACCCGAGAACTGCTGCTCATTTCTCCTCTGCACTGACCAACATCACGCTTGGAGCAGTGCTGAGATCTTTGTGTGAGCTGGGGCTCAGCCTGGGCTGGGGAGACATCAGTAAATCAGTTTGGAGAGGCCAAAGCAGAATAACAGGGCCATTTAAAAGGGTCTTTTCTCAGCCTCAAGCCCAGCACTGGTGGGGCCATGGTGGGGCTCGTGAGCAGCCTGGGCCTGGGCCAGGCTGGGCTCGGTTTGTGTTGGCCGAGCTCTGTGACATTCCAGAAACCCAAGCCCACGTCCTGTCTCGAGCTCAGCCTGGCCTGGCTGGGAACTCACAATAAATCCACACATTTTATCACGTTTATCAGGGGGTTGGAGGCTCTCACAGGGAACTGGGATGCTGGAATGCTGAGCCCTGGAGGGAAAGCTCTGCCCCAGGCAGGAGATGGGCTGGCTTGGCTAGAGCCAGGCTCAGTTAGGCCAGGTGTGAACCCGTGACCATATCTGAGCTACTGCAGCTCTATTATCAAAGTCAATTAAAGCAAGAGGCCCAGGACTGATTTACCCTGCTGCAGCCACTCAACAGCCAGGAGCATTCCCCATTATTAGCAGGAATTTAATTAGAGGGAGAATTGGAACCACTGAAAGAGGTGGAGGAGGGGATTTAACAGGGTTTAGTGAGATCACATTGAGGAACCCTGCTCTGGTTTGCAAACCAAGAGAACTGCCAGCATTCCACGTTTGGGCAGCCCCAGTTAAAGGGGTTTTGGTGGGAGGAGAGTGCTTGGATATCCCAGAGCTGTCCCACACCATCCCAGGCTCTGGTAAGGAATGTTCAGGGCAGGATTTTCCAAAGGGAATCTCCACCCTGGCAGCCCATTCCAGCCCATGCCTCCTCCAGGCCTGGAGGAGGTGAGGATTGAGAATTGAGGTGATTCCTCAAGGTGAGGAATGAGAACAGCTCCAGCAGCCAGCCTGGTCCTGAGGCTGTGACCAAGAGATGTGTGCAATGTTCAGTAACCAATTTGATTAATAATTCAAAGATTGTCTTTAATCTCACCACAGAATAAAGCAGGAGACTGGGCTGGGCCTTGCTGCAATAATCTGGGCTCTCCTGCAAAGTTTCCTGGCTGGATTTTGAGTTGCTCTCTTGCTCTTTGGTTAAACAAGTGGCAGATATGGGTGCAGAAAATGGATTTTCTGCTTGCAGGATTGGAGTGGTTTGTGCTTTTGGGGGTGATTTCTGAGCATGTTTAAAAGCACTGGAGCCACTGAGGTGTCATGCAGGGCACCCTTCCACACTCCAGGTCCGCTGTGGAGCATCCTGGTGCCCAGAACAAGGAGATGGAACACAGAAAAATGGAATTATTCCTCCTTGATGGGAAAATCAGCTGGAAAATACACAAGCAACATCATCCTCTTCATCCCCATTACAGAAGTGCACATCCAGTGAAAAGAGCAGTTTTCTTATTCACCCTCTGCAAATATTCCACTGAAGTTTGCTGTGAAATATTCCATTGAAGCCTGGTTTGTGCTGGTTCAGAGCAGAGCAGAGCAGCCCCCCTGGGCTGTGATCCAAGCTCTGCATGAGGCTGGAATGGAGACTTTATTTAAGACTGAGAAAACCCCACATTTTTCACACTGTGATGTTTGAAAAGAGCAGGAAATGATCCCGAGAGGGGAGCAGGTGTGGAATTCCAGGGACATCAGCAGCGCCATCAGTGACATCTGCAGGGCCTGAGCTGTGCAGAGTCACTGTGAACAGGCCACAGATCCTCATCACTGCTGATAAGGCAGAGAGGCAGGCTTTGAGAGGAAATTAAAATGGAAATATCAGCTTTTCCTCTGCAAGCAGCACAAGCATGAGAAAAGATCAGGCCAAGGTCAAAGCACCATTTTTTTGCTCACTAATATTTTAGAAATCAAATTATTTCTTCCTTCACTCAGAAACCAGACTCACAGTTTGGAAGCCATTAACATTTTTATTTTAATTGAAATTCATCTTCCAAGTCCCATAAAAGCACAGAAAAATGCACTCAGGTATGAAATGGCAGAGCAATGCTGAGCTGATATTCTGGGTTGCTGTCAATCATCACAAGCAGACAGGGTGAGAGCTGCAATTCCTGGAGGATTTTTGGCTTATCCATTTGCTGTAGGAATTCTGGCTGGTGGAGCTGCAGGGCTGGGTTATCCCAGAGAAAATTCCTTCCCTGCTCATCCCTTGATCCCCCTTCCTAAAGGTCTCAGAGCTGAGCCAGAGCACAAACACCATCCTGGTGGCACAGAGCAAAGCTGGCAGGGCTCAGGCCAGAACCAAATCCCAGATGCAGGGATGGGATCCAGAGGCAGGAAAGTGCCAGAGTGGGAGCAGATTCCAGCAGTTCCCTGGCAGGATCTGGCTGGGAAAAGCTGGGAACTGCTGTGGGGTGAGGAGTGGGGCTCTGCTGGGAGGGGACAGGCACCAGCAGCACCCAGAGCCACCTCTGCCCCAGGGCTGGCTCAGACCCTCGGGTAGGGAGGGGGGGAATCCTTGGAAGGCAATTCCAGAGCTTCCTCATAGGATGGCAGCACGGCCTGGAAGAGATCAAAGTTGTGGGGTCACAGGGATTCCATCCTGCCTGCTTCCATCAGGGACAGACAACCTCGAGGGCTCGGGGCTCAGAGGGCAGGAATCCAGCAGAGCTGGGGGCAGCAGCGTTGGATCCTTGTGCCAGTGGCACCTCCATTCCCTGGGACATTCCTGGACATTCCCATTCCCTGGGACATTCCTGGACACCCCCGTTCCCTCTGACATTCCTGGACACCTCCATTCCCTGGGACATTCCTGGACACTCCCATTCCCTGGGACATTCCTGGACATTCCCATTCCCTGGACAGTGACTGGCCCAGGGCTCCTGAACGTGTGGAGTCCCAGCCTCATTCCCAAGGAAAGCTGAGGAATTTTGCAGAGGGGCACAGCTGGGGCACCACTGCTGGCAAGACTGGGCTCGGCAGATTTGCCAAGATAAAAGCCAGCCCTCAGCATTCCCAGCCCTCAGCATTCCCAAACCCTCAGCATTCCCAACCCTCAGCATTCCCTGTCCCTCACTATTCCATATCCCTCACAATTCCCTGTCCATCACCATTCCCAACCCTCACCATGTCCCTCCCTCTTCCCTTCCCATCCATCCTTACAACACTGAAAATCCAAAATTCTCAGACAGAAAGATGAAGTAAAAGCTGATTTTAAACACTTTTAGCTATGGAAACCAAAGTCCAGCTGGAATTAACCCCGAATTCCTGGATCAGGGATCACAGGGAATCCATTCCCACTTATCTGCTGTGCCTGAGTTTCACTCTCCTTGCACATTGACTTTAAAGATTTTAGGCAGAAGTAAAATTAAATGGATATATTGTAATTAAAAACTGATTATTAACACTTGCTACTGGGGATTTGAAGGGCTGGAAATTCTCTCCAATCCCAAGAAAGCAGAGATAAGGATCACCAGTCTAAAGGATCCTGTTCATGGAATAAATTCACTTTTCCTCACCTTTCCCTCTGCTTTTGAGTCCATCTTCAGGAATCAATTCACTTTTATGCCCCTTTCCCACTGGTTTGGGTCCACTTTTGGGAGTAAATTCACTTTTCCTCACCTTTTCCACTGTCTGTTTCTCCACTTCCAGGAACAAATTCATTTTTTCCTCACCTTTTCCACTGTTTTGGGTGCACTTTCAGGAGTAAATTCACTTTTCCTCACCTTTTCCACTGTGTGTGGCTCCACTTTCACCTCCTCCTTGTTGCTGGCTTTGATGTACTTGAAGCAGGTCAGGACACACTTGAACATGTAGGCCTGGAAAAGAGGAAAAGGGAAGGAAAAGGACATTTTCCCAAGGCACTGCAGGGCAAAAAGGGCATTTCCACTCTTGCCACCAGCCTGGGATTTTCCTGCTCTCTTCTCTGGAGAGAGAAGTTTGGGACCATGATCCCAGGGCCTTAAATCTGTGTCTCCATCCTTCCCTAGGAATGTGACAATTCCATGAATTCAGAACTGAGGTGGGACTGGGAATCCAGTGTGTATGAAGTAATTAAATATAAAATCCAATAAACACAAGACTGAGATCACAATTTCGTGACTAGGAAAGGAAATCATGGCCCTGATGTCATTTTTTGGAGCAGGTTACAAAGTCTGGATTCCATGAATCCAAAACACCGAGGTGGGACTGGGATCAATAATCCAGTAAAAATAAAGTGATTAAACATAAAATCCATCAAACACAACATTGGACATTTCTGAGATCACAATATCCCGAGGTAGGAAAGGAAATCATGGCTTTGATTTTTCAGAGCAGGTTGCAAAGTCTGGATACCAGGAAAGCACCAGAGGCACCACAGAGATCCAAGGACTGCCCCAAAAATCCCTTCCTTCAGCAAAATCCCTTTTTTGCACCTCCCTGACAGGAGCTCCTGGCACCCCATGGATTTATCCACGCAATAAATGGAGCTTTTCTGAGGGAAAAAGGATTGATTGAGGGGTTGTGGCCCAGGGACATAAGCGGGGTCTGTGGGACTGGCCCTGTTAAATCAATATTTTCCCTGCTCAGGCAGAGTCGTGTGCCTGGTGTTTGTGTTGGCCTGGGAATGTGCTGGGAGCTGTTGGGATTTCCAGGGAACACAGGGAGCCACAGATCCCAAAGCTGGGCTGTGCTGCTGAGCATTCCCAGGATAATGGGGGCTGTTTGTGTTGACACTAAGCCAAAACAAAGATTTTAAAAAAAAGGAATGAAATGTCTGAGCTGAAAAAAATCAATCTCAACATTCCAGAGATCGGAGACAAATCCAAACTTTGAGCATCTTTTGGGAATATTGCAAAACCCTTCCTGCTTCCAAAGCCTCTTCCAGAGAGCAAAGCTGGAGCTGTCATAGAAACTGGGTAAAAACCTTCACTCACCCATGAAAAAACCCTAGGAAATCTAGAAAATAAATAAAAATCACACAGCAAAAGAATGCACTTCCTGATTTTGGTTTTGAAATTAAAAAATCACACAACAAAGGAATGCACTCCTTGATTTGGATTTTGAAATAAATTAAAATCACACAACAAAGGAATGCATTCCCTGATTTCAGTTCTGAAATAAATCAAAATCACAAGGAGTGTTTTATTCCCATTAATTTCTGCTTTCTTGTCCCTGTGGTGCTGGAGAACTTTGTAATTCCAAAGTGAGATAAAGATTGTTGGAATATTTGCCCCTCCCATCCCTGGGGCAGTGGGAACTGCTCCTGCCACGGCAGGACCCAAAATCACTGCATGGATTTGGGATCACCCGTGGGTGCAGAGACCAGCACAGGAATTGCCTTCATGGTGCCATGGCAGCATCACCCTGCCCTTGGAATATTTTTTCCCTGGAATTTTGAGCTGATTCTGCCACCACAGGTAATGCAGACCCAGGCCTGTGCTGTCCTGAGCTGGGAGGCTGCAGGGACAGAATTCCATGGGATTTTACCCATGGAAGAGGAGAGGGGTTGGCACTGGGATTAAAGGATGGGGTCCTGATGGCTTTTTGGGGACTTCAGTAGACCAGGAGTCCTGGGGGTTTTATTATCCCACCCCATCCCTCCTCTTACAACCCCAGCACAAAAACCCATTGCAAATCCAGCATTTTGTGGGTAAAACTGTGGAAAATTCCAATTAATCCATTTGCCAGGTCAGGGAGATTCCTGCCAGCTGGGGCTCGGGGTTATCTCCCTCCTGCTGCACACTCCATGCAAATGTTAAAAGAGATTTTAAAGCCATGCCTGCAGTGCATCCATACAAAACTCTCCACTCCTCACTGCCTTATCTGGCCCACCTGCAAGGCTCAGAATATAAAATGGTTTCCAATTCACAAGCAGCACTTCCTGCCCAAGTACCTGGAACAATCTGGTTTTCTTCGTGGGGCTGAAGGTAAAAAATCAGTTCTCTGAGCCACTGAAGCAATAAAGGAGTAAAAAGCCTCTGCAGTGGAGCTTCCTGAGGCACCAGCAGGGTTTAGCTCTTGGTTTTAATGAACTTTGGGAGTATCAGGGTGGAGAACCCTGCTCCCATCAGAGAGGGCACAGCCACTCACCCAATGGACGATCTCACCTGCTGCTCAATATTCTCATTTATTTGGGCACAGCAGAGGGCTTTGCTGTGCTTGTTTTCAACCTTTTTGTCCTAAAGGGGAATGGGCAGTGATGATTTGGGGATATAAGAGGGGTTTTGCTTGGTAATTCACACAGCAGAGTAAAGGCAGGGATTAAGATAAACCAGAGCTCCCCCTGTGCCCGAGGAGAGCCCGACAAGGCAGATTTGGGAGAGGATTAAAGCTGAGTTTGACTTCAGAGCCTTTTACCTTGAGGAAGAGCACGGCCACGAAGGCGATGGTGAAGGTGATCATCACTCTGGTGTACTCCTCTGCTGGCAGCTTCTGCAGGGCTGGCAAAGAGCCCTGGGGGAAAAGGGAGAAGGAGTCACCCCAAAAACTCGTTCCCTCTGCCAGGGGCACCCACAGAGAGGGGCTCAGGGTTCAGGCAGAACAAGCAGTGAAGGATTTGCACTGGCAGCAGGATCACAGGGATAAGGTTTTCCTCCTGCTGTTTCCAGTCCTTTGGCAAAGCCCTGTTCAAATGAGAACTTTTACAATTTTAATTTCCACTTTTTTTCCACCAGTCTGGGATTTTTCCTGCTCTTTTCTCTGGAGGGAGAAACTTGGGACCATGATCCCAGGGCTTTAAATCATTGTCTCCATCCTTCCCTAGGAATGTGATGGCTCCATCTATTCATAACAACACTGGGCTGGGATTTATTAAACATGACTGTTTAATAAAGATGAAATTTGAGGCAGCTCTGCCTGAATCACTTTGCTCTGCGATTTGCATCCATCAGGTTGCTACGAGGAGAAACAAGGTGGATTTTTAAGGACCACGGGAGCTGTCAGTCAGGAACAGCGCTGGGGAGAACATGGAAAACCCTCCTTGTTGTCAACCTGAGCAGTTCTGGATGTTCCAGAGAGGCCAGAGAAGCTGCAGAGCCATGGGATGGGAATTTACAGGAGCTCCCAGTGTGGAAAATGAGCGGGGCCCAGACCTACCCCACTGTCCACAGGCTTGAGGCTGAGGTAGGTGGGCACCTCCATGTAGGAGCTGCACAGAGTGAGGATGCTCAGGCAGAAATCCAGCAGCTGCAGCGCCAGCAGGGGAGTCCTGGAGTGGCCCTGCTGAGGGGACAGAGCTGGGTTACAATCACAGGATTGGGTCACTTCTGCACATTATTCACACTTTACACACAGCCTGTGGTTGGTTCACACCGAGTCTAAGCCATTAAGTTCCCTTAAATTCAACCCAAACCTTCCCTTCTGCTGGCCCAAAGAGCGAGCAAACCGTCTGTGCTTTGCTCACCCGAGCTCCACAGGAGCCTCTGGCCAGAACAGGGACAATCCCAGTTTATCTGCAGCAAACCCCTCCTGGCAGGGCACACCCAGAGCCACCTCCCTCAAAGCCAGGAGAAAATCAACATTCTGAGCCAGGGGAAAATAAATATCCCAGCTGCTACTGGCTTCCTTCAGCCTCCAAAGATTGGATACAGACAAAACCACCTCACATCTGGATTCAAGATCTTAAATGGCTTTTCCAAACTAAAGGATTCTGTGACAAACCACAGCCCAAGATAACAATCCTTTATTACAGAATTCCAGGACCCTAGAGGTCTTTTCCATCCTAAAGGATTCCATGACAAACCACAGCCCAAGGCAATGATTCTTCATTCCAACCTTCCAGGACCCTAAAGGTCTTTTCCAGGCTAAAGGACTCCATGAAGAACCACCCCAGTTAAGGATCCCATTCTCCATTCCATGCATTCCCCAGCTCCTGAGAGCCTGAGCCCCCAGGAGGAAGAGGAGGAGGAGGAGCTGTCACCCACCGTGTGGCCCAGGGAGGAGGACGTGGAGATGATCACTGGCACCTGGATGTAGGAGCTGAACATGGTCAGGAGGCTGAGGAGGAAGTCAATGACTTGCAGAGCCAGGAAGGGGATCAGGAACCGCTCCCTCTTCTGAGGAGGAAAAGCAGCACGGGTTATTTCCATTCCCAGTGGGAATTGAGACCAGCTGCCAACACCTGGAAGGACTTAGATGGTGCTCCAAGAGTTAAACTTCCCTGGAATTTCTGATTTCAGTGATAACTGATCCAGAGCAAACAGGGCATCAGTGCTGATATTTTTTACCTCTTTGGAAAAGTCCTGTGTATTCTCACTCAGTGACATCAGAGTTGTCATCTGACTGTCCCTAAAATTTACCTCTGCAGAGAGAACTCGGTTATTTGGGTGGTGTTTAATACTCAGAACTCTGCCACCCTCACATTCCTGGGCTTCCCACCCCAAGGCCTGGCCATTCCTCCTCCTGAACTGGGAAATGTTGCCCTGGTGCAACAGGGCAGTGGCAGCTCTCTCACAGGACCTGACCTGTGACAGAGCAAGGAAACAAGGCAAGAAAACCTTTCTAAATCATAAAATCTCCTTCATTTATCACCAAACATAGCCCAGGTGGAAATGTTGCCCATATTGGGTAAATTTGGATGTTTGAAGATTTTAACTAGAACCTGAGGCTTCAAACCAATCCCTCTCCCCCTCTGGAAGCTGGAGATGTTTTTATCTGCCTTTTTTCCTGTGTGATTCTCTGATTCTGGGATTTTTATCTGCCTTTTTTCCTGTGTGATTCTCTGATTCTGGGATTTTTATCTGTCTTTTTTCCTGTGTGATTCTCTGATTCTGGGATTTTATCTTTCTTTTTTCCCTGTGGGATTCTGGGATTTTTATCTGCCTTTTCTCCTGTGTGATTTTCTGATTCTGGGGAGTTTCCTGCTTTTTTTTGTTCATAATTCCAGTGAGCACCATCCAAACCCTGAATGTCATTTGTGGGGAACGTACCTTGATCACCCCGAACAGGAGGTGGAAGCTGATGATAAACAACATGAGGATCAGCAGGAAACTGGTGGTGATATCAACTGAAAAGAATAAAAATGAAAACAGGAATCACCACATCACCAAAAGATGTCCCAACTCCATCACACCCCTAAGGGAGGGCTCAGCCTGGCACCAAGAATTGTGTCCGTGGAAGAATTCATGCCATGCAGCTGGAATTAACCCTCTTTTCCCTTTTTACACCCATTTTTCATCCCTTTGAAGTTCCTGTATCCACCAAACCATGCAGGTTGTGAGCTCGAGGGAACCAAGGCCTGAAATGTTAAATATCCCAGGTGACAAAAGTATTAAAAATGCCCACAGGGTTTTTGGCTCACAGCTCTGAACTGGGAATGATTTAGAGACTGAAAAACAGAAAGAGGAACCAGCAGTGAAATGCTGAAGGATGTTCAGAGTCTCTCAGAGAGGAGCAGGAATTTTAACCCCCCTCCAGTGGTGAGGCCAGGCAGGGTCGGGGGGGGATCTCTCCCCCCAGCTCTGCAGCTGTGGGATGCAAGGGACACCTCCAAAACACAACGTGAGGGGCTTCAGGGTGATTTTTGGCAGCTGCTTTGGGTGCAGGGGGTGATGTTTTATATCCATGCAGTTCCTGCTCAACCTTTGCCTGGAAGCAATTTTCCCTCCTGGAAGCACAGCCTGCCCTGGTGCTGATTCACCTCTCCAGAGGAAAAACTCTGCTGTTTGGTTTTTATTTTTTTCCTAATCTGCCTCTGCACAACCTTTCCCAGAGCCTCCTCCAACTCCTTTCCTCTGTTTCACCTGAGTTTAAAACAGCACTGGCCAGTGTGGGCTCTTCAATTCCTAAATGTTTCAAGAAAATGTTTCATTCTGCTAGAAAAGAGCCAAAGTTTTAATTTTTCTGACTTTTTTTTTTTTTGTATCAGCTGATCCTTTCCATAGGTGCACAGGACTGGTGATCCTTGGGGGTCCCTTCCAGCTGAGGATATTCCACACAACCTTTAATAAATCCAGTGCCTAACTCTGTTTTATTCATCACTCTCCCTTTTCATAAAGAACTCTGGGAATTGTGCCTGTAGAATCCCTGTCATATTCCAGCTGCTCTGAAATCCTTTACTGCTCCATATGACCCTTTTTTCCCCAGGAAAATTCATCTCCCTCTCCCCCAGCTCTGAGTGTTCACCTGGAGCTTTGGTCCTCCTTTGGTGAGGGAAGATTTCAGTGCTTGGACAGACCCCAAATCATCCTTTATTCCCTTTCTAGAAGGGGATATTCTTTATTCCAGTGAATATTTCTTATTTACATTTCTTTTTTTCCTCGCTCTCTTTATTTTTTTTTTTTAATTTTGCCAAGAGGATAAAATCATTCCCAAAGAAGTCAAGGCAGAGAAACCTGTTCTTGTTTTTCAGGCAGGTGACCCCAACACTGATAACTGTCACAGCTTTATCAGAATTTGGACATTTGCTGTGTTTAGGGGGAAATGCAAAGATTCCCCCCAGGGCAAAGGGACACAGATCTACCCCCAGCTCAAGAAAGGACTAAAAATGTCACTGAGAAGCTCTGGAACAATTCAGGTTTGTTGAAGACCTTCCTGAGCCACATGTGGGCAGGTGGCAGCAGCAGTGCCACCCCTCCCATCCTCCCTCTGCTGACAGAGTTCATTTAAATGCAATTTAAATCCATTTCAATTGATACAAAAAGGATCTTCAATTTCCCTGCTGTCTCCTCTTGAAATCCCCTCCAGAAATGAGCTTTGCTGATGGGAAACCTTCGGTGTGGAAAGAAGCTCTGCCCAGCACTTCCTTCCCCCAGCACGAGGAGCCTCTTCCTTCCTCAGGCTTGGGGACAAAGCCCTGCGGGGAGGCTGCAGCCACCAGGAAGCCAAAAAAGCTGATGTGAGGGGGAATGGAGCCGTCTGAGGGTGGGATACGGGGAATGATCCAAATTATCCTGCACCAGGAAAGGAGGGCTGTGATGGTGCAAAGCAAGGAAACAGCTTTTCCTCATTTTCCTCATAACCTGACAAAACCCCAAGGCAGGAGCTGCTCCTCCCCAGCTCGTGGGAACTGAGATGCAGAGGAGGAACAAATCTCTGTAAACAGTGAAGAGAGAAGCCCCAAACTCAGCAAACCCCGGGGGGAGAGCAGGGAGGGAAGAGGGAAAGGGCTTTGCCTCCTGGAGAAATCAGGACCACAAAGGACAGCACTGCTGCCTTCCTTCTGCTGCCAGGGGGGTGGGAAAGCTGGAATTCCACGGCAGAACAACAACCCCACCTTCGAGGAGCAGGGGAGTGGAACCAAGGCTGGGATGTGGCACACAAAGAGCCAAAGATTAACAGGGAACAGCCTAAACCCAAACCCAAAACCCAACCCTAATCCCAAAATAGAGCCTAACAAAGGAGCCAGACTCAGTCCTTGTGGGACCAGCCCTGAAGGAACCAATCCCAATCCCAATCCCAATCTCACTAAAAGCTGAAAATCCCAAAACCTTTTCCCGAAAGGAGCCAATCCCATTAAAAGCCCAAACTCCCAGAACCTTTGCCCTAAAGGGGCCAATCCCATTATAAAACAGATTCCCAAAGACTTTTCCCTAAAGGAGCCAATCCCAATCCATTAAAACCCAAACTCCCAAAGCCTTTTCCCCTGGTTTCACCCAGCACCAGCACTCAGGAGTTTGCCCAGAGAGGATTTCTCTCCTTTTCCCGGGATTTTCTGGGATAAGGCACAGCCACGTTTTCCTGCCTCTCTCTCCATGGGCTCCTGCTCCAGCTCTCTGGCAGGATCCCTAATTAATTGGGAAGTGGCCATTGCCAGCTAATTGCCCAGCTGGATTTTCCAAGCAGAACCTGGATCAAAACCCTGCAAACAAAATAAGAAAGAAACAAAATCCCCACAAACACAAAGGGATGGAAAGGAAAGGAAAACCAAGGGAAAACAACTTCCCTCGAGCTGGCTGCCTCCTGTTTGTTCCCAGGAAACAGAGTCACCCTCCCTGCTGGTGGCAGGGATGGGGTGGTGCCATGGACAAAAAACAAAAAACACAACCAAAAAAACCCCAAACCTCCCCCAAACAAGCAAAACAAAAAGCCAACAAACAGACAAAAAGCCAAACAAACCACCAAATAAACAAGCATAATCCAAGCAAACAAGACTCCAAACCAACAAAGAAAAAAACAACCAAAAATCAAAACCAAAAAATCCTGAACAAACAAAAATCCCAAACAAAACCCCAAACCAACAAACAAAAACCCCCAAAAAAACTCAAACAAACAACACTCCTAACCAACAAACAAAAAATAACCAAAAAACAAAACCAAAAAATCCTAAACAAGCAAAAATTCCAAAGCCCCAAATCAATAAAAAACCCCCAAAACAGAACAAAAAACCCCAAACAAACAAAATCCCCATGAAACAAAATCCCAAATAAACAAACAAAATACCCAACCAAACAGAAACAAACAACCCAACCAAACAAAACTCCCAAACCAATAAAGAAACAAAAAGCAAAAGCAAAAGCAAAAAAGAACCTACAAAAAAAACTCAGAAAAACCAACGCAGACCAAAAAACAAAAAAGAACCCCTCCCTAAACAGAAAAACAACCAAATTCTGAAAGAGGAAGGAAACACTTGAGGTCACACTTGCATCAAGTTCTTCAATTCTCATGGAATAATGAAAGTGGGAAAATGTTTAGAGGAATGGATGATGGATGGATGGATGGATGGATGGATGGATGGATGGATGGATGGATGGATGATGGATGGATGGATGGATGATGGATGGATGGATGGATGGATGGATGGATGATGGATGGATGGATGGATGATGGATGATGGATGGATGGATGATGGATGATGGATGGATGATGGATGATGGATGGATGATGGAT